ATCGCCCCCTAGAATCGGGAACGACTAGCACATACGTGCGAGAGGAACCTTTACCTTTAACAGGCTGAAAGGAGATGGCAGCAAAGCCAAAGGAGAAAACCTGGAACACTTTGTCTGTAGCAGTCGTGATGACATCCTTCAACAGTGACTTAGAACAGACAAACACAGCCCAGAATTGATAATGGGAACCACAGACGTTATGTCTATATTGTTTTGTGCTGATTAAGAGAAGGTCCTTTTCGAGCAAGCCAAGTCTGAGAAACACCAGCAGAAAGCTGTGGACAGCGTTTCTGCCAAACACAGTTCATGGGATCAAGGTGAGTATAAGTCTTGGATTGCCTCCATTGTGCTTGCAGATTTTTTCCAAGAAGACAGGCTCACTTCTGTAAAGTACCCTTGCTTGATTGCTTCTGGCACCCTCGTCTTAATTGATTCGGCTCAGGAACAGTCATTTCACTTGACATTTAGGTTAACTAATCCCAACTTTCTCTGTGGATTACTTATTTTGGAAGAGCAAGACGTGTTCCAGTTCCAGTGATCAGAAATAATGAAATAAGTGCTGCTCTTTGTCCATTCCTGGAACCAGCCGGCACTTCACCCAACTGGGCAATAATAGAACAAAGTAAGGTCAGCCAGTCAAATGTTCAGTCACCGCCATTATGTTCTTCCCCGATTACACTTCTTTTCACGAAAGGAAAATAAAAGGGAAAACAAGAACAGAACAACGAGGGAAGATGGTGGAAGAAATGACATTCAGATGCAACAGTGTCGTGGTTACAAAAAGTGAACTAGGAAATCTCAGGACAAGTTGTCTTTTGGGAAAATGACCAATCCGCAACTGCAGAAGAAATGCTGCAAAATTGTCTTTGCTTGGCTCAGCTTTCCAACTCCCTGGAAGATCTATGATGCAGTACTTGTATGCAAAAGCAGTCAGGGATTGTCTTGTCCACTTTCATTGATCTTGACTCATTTGAATTTTCAAATTTTGCCTTCAGTGTCCAAGGCCTTTTTTTGGATGTAAGAATAAATCAAACCTAAGCTAAATCAAATCCCTATTAACTTCTTTAAAGATGACTCAAAACATTTGCTAATCATCTATTTGAATTAAAAGGCAACAGATCAGTGGTGGGCATGGCATGGATTGGTGGGTGTGGCTTGTGGGCATGGCAGGGGAAGGATACTGTAAAATCTCCATTCCCACCCCACTCCAGGGAAAGGATACTGTAAAATCCCCATTTCCTCCCAATCAGCTGGGACTTGGGAGGCAGAGAATAGATGGGGGCGGGGCCAGTCAGAATTTTTACTACCAATTTCCGCTACCGGTTCTCCAGAACTGGTCAGAACCTGCTGAAACCCACCTTTGCAACAGATACTACTATTAATACATGCCTAATTATCAAACCCAACAAAGGAAGTCGATCTTGGTTTCCAATTTTTTGAACTCACTAGTACATCAAACATTTTGATACAATAGGCAGATTCTGCAAACTGTTGTGGAGTCATGGCAATTAGAAATAGTGTTCTCCATTTGCTGTTGTGTTGATATGTATCTGCTTAGCTGTGTGGGGAAGGTGTGCTGCTTCTTTGTTATTTTTGACTGTAGTCTTTTTCATCCTTACTTATTTAACAAAATCTTGACTTCGATTAACTTATCTAAATCTTAGGAGAATGAGATCTACTTTAGACTTAGGGTCAACTTTCTAGTTTTGCCAGTATTGCTATGTTATTGTTTATCATGTAATTTGTTTCTTAGGAATATAAATATATTCTATAGCTTTCCCCCCCCCATATTTCATGTATTTGTATGTAGGGGAGAGGTGGCTGTCAGTCATCTAAAGTTGGGTCTCACATTTTCCATGATGGAACATAATTAGATACTAAATCATGTGAAGTATTGATACCACTATATAATGCCTTGGTAAGACCACACTTGGAATACTGCATCCAGTTTTGGTCACCATGATATAAAAAAGGTGTCGAGACTCTAGAAAGAGTGCAGAGAAGAGCAACAAAGATGATTAGGGGACTGGAGGTTAAAACATTTGAAGAACGGTTGCAGGAACTGGGTATGGCTAGTTTGATGAAAAGAAGGACTAGAAGAGACATGATAGCAGTCTTCCAATATCTCAGGGGCTGCCACAAAGAAGAGGGAGTCAAAGCTATTCTCCAAAACACCTGAGGGCAGGACAAGAAACAATGGGTGGAAACTAATCAAGGAGAAGCAACCTAGAATTAAGGAGAAATTTCCTGATAAGTAAGAACAATTAATCAGTGGGATATCTTGCCTCCAGAAATTGTGGGTGCTCCAACACTGGAAGTTTTTAAGAAGAGATTGGATAACCATTTGTTTGAAATGGTATAGGGTTTCCTGCCTGAGAGTGGATTGGATAGAAGACCTCCAAGGTCCCTTCCAACTCAGTTATTTTGTTAAATCCACCTTTATAACGTTTACAGTGTAAACTCTTGTGTATATATGTAGCTTGTTTTATCTCTCTAGAGCCAAGGGAGATTTCCAATTGCTTGCAGAGCTGACCACTATCTTGTACTCATTGATACTCAATTTGACAGCTCCTTAATAGGAGAAAGATTTAGCAGACTAGAAATTCCCTACAGTTAACTGCTTTTCTGACTTGAAAAGATGTCCTTTTTCATTATTAACCCACAAAGTGACAAAGACAGTGCTCTCTGCCCTGTAGTTTTCTACCTTCCTTTTACTGATATTCTTGGTTTTGCAGCCCATATAATTGTTATATTGTTAGATGGGATGATGAACTCTTGATACTTATATTGGGCTAGAATATTTTTCAATTCGGGGCTAAAGTTAATTTTTGTTGTTAGCTTGGAACCCCAAAACATTTTTATGTTACTTTGAGTGGTTTCCCTAGTCTGAATAAAAGGGTTTCCCCCCACCTTCAAAAGTCACCAGAGAACATCCAGAGCTCTTTTAACAGAACTGTCCTTAGGGCTACATCACCTATGGATAATCCTATTTCCTTTCTCCCCAACTTTTCGAATTTTCCACCCCTCCCAAGCAAAAGGAGTTTAATGCTTAGATTTGCCATCCCTAACAGTGATAGCCCACCGATGTTCCAGATGTTAGTCCTTAGTGTGTCGCAACATTATGTGCTACACACCATCACTCAGGCTTCAGCTAAAGGATATTCAGGTTAAGATTTTAGGACCCAAAGGCTGTTTTCTCTCAGCTCACAATTATCCCTCTCCCTCTTCTCCCAGGGGTAGCTTTCTGGGCTTATTAAGAGTCATTTGCGAGCAATTCCCATCAAAGCCTTCAATAATTAGCCTTGTATTAATAGCTCTTTGCTTTTAATATTGGCCTCCCTTTGAAACCAGGCGTCCCGGATCTCCCTCCAACTAACACCCCCCCTCCCCAAGTCTGCCTTCACCTTGTTAAACAATGCCCTAATTTACTTTTCCAAACTATAGAACTGCGGAGGAGCCAGGGACAAGATTATCCAGCCCGAGGGGGCATCTAACTTCTCCCCTTGTCCCTTATACAGGGCTAACTACTCTTAAGAGCTGCTTCATGATTTCCCCTTATTCCAGATAGGAGAGAAGGAGAAGGTAGTTGTCAGGTACCGTCTCTCTCTCTCTCTCTCTCTCTCTCTCTCTCTCTCTCTCTCTCTCTCTCTCTCCCTCTCCCTCCCTCCCTCCCCCTCCCTCCCTCCATCTCTCTCTCCACTTCTCTCCCTCTTTCAGCATCTCTCTCTTCCTGTCTTCTCTCTCTCTCTCCCTCCCTCCCCCTCCCTCTCCACTTCTTTCCCTCTTTCAGCATCTCTGTCTCTCTTCCTGTCTTTTCTCTCTCCCTCCCTCCCCCTCCCTCTCCACTTCTCTCCCTCTTTCAGCATCTCTTTCTCTCTTCCTGTCTTTTCTCTCCCTCCCTTCCTCCCTCCCCCTCCCTCTCTCCACTTCTCTCCCTCTTTCAGCATCTCTGTCTCTTCCTGTCTTTTCTCTCTCTCCCTCCCCCTCCCTCCATCTCTCTCTCTCCACTTCTCTCCCTCTTTCAGCCTCTGTCTCTCTTCCTGTCTTTTCTCTCTCTCTCTCTCTCTCTCTCTCTCTCTCTTAGCATCTCTCTCAGCATCTCCCTCCCTCCCTGTCTCCCTCTTCCTCTGTCTTCCCCTCTCTCTTCCTCTCCCTCTCTCTCTCAGCACCTCTCTCTTGTTCACCCCCCCACCCTCTCTCCTAGGTGATCCATTTCTAAGCAACGTGCTGGCTAGCGGCGTCGCCGGCGTCGCTCGCTGGCAGCCGAGAGGAACTCCGTACATCCCACCCGACCAACCAGCTCCAAAAAAAAAAAAAAAAAAAAAAAAAGAAAGAAAAAAAGAAAAGAAAAAAGCCGCCTCCTTGTTTGGAAGCTGCCGCCGCTGCCGCCGCTGGAGCTTCTACTGCAGAAAAGCCACCGCCGCCAGCCTTCGCTCGTTCGGTTGCTAGCTGCTGCTGCTGCTGCTGCTGTGCTCACTCCCCAGCCACGTCTCCGTGGAACTGCTACCTCGCACGGCCACGTTGGAGGCTCGGTTTTCGCAGCGTTTGCGGCGTTTTCCCGCCTCCCTCCCCTCCCCATCGAAGAAGAGGGAGGAGGAAAGCCAGCGGATTATAGCTTTTTTTAAAAAAAACAAACAAAAAAAAAACACACCTATATATTAATTTTTTTTTATTTTTTTTGCAGCGGGGAGAAAGTTCTGCATTCTTAGCTGCATTGTTTTGATTTTTTTTTTTTGGGGTTGGGGTTTTTTGGTTTTTTTTTTTTTTTTTTTTCCCCGCGTCGGGGAGTGGGGGGTGGGTGGGCGAAAGGATTTTGGAACGCAGCGTGCTCTCTTTCTGCAAAGCCTTTGCAGGGATCTGGTCAGTTGCTTGGAGATTTGAAGAGGAAAACTAGTTTTTCTTTTTATTTTTTTTATTTTTTTTGCTTTGGGAGACATCCATCCATCCTCCTCCCCCTCCCCCCTCTTGGGGGGGGGACAGGGGTGGCCGGGGCGGGGTGGGGGGGGGGTGGACTGGCATGGTTGGTCGGTTTTCCGGGTTGCAAGTTGTTCCGCCGGATTGGTCGGGAGAAGCGGGCGGTGCGGATCGCCGCCAAAAGGAAAAAGATCCCCGTTTCTCCATGCCTGCCGTTTCTCCGTTCCTAAACGAAGGGCTTACGGTGTAAGAAGAAGCAGAAGCAGCAGAAGGGGGAGAAAAAAGAAAAAAAAAGAGAGAAAGGCTGTGGATGGGGCGATGAACACCGAGGCGCGCCAAGCTGCTGCCCCGACATCTCCGGCGGGGGGTGCTGGATGGATTTGCTGCAGCAACTCCCCGCAACTCTGGTGATGCCCGGCCGCCCCCCGAAGTGACGCGAGGAGCTAAGCCAGAGGCTTCCCCGGCAAGCTTGGACCGTTTTTCCTCTCTCGCCAACCAGCTGCAGGCTCTTTCCGGAGGCTTTTGCTTCAAACTCCCAACTCTCTCTCTCTCTCTCTCTTTCTTTCTTTTTTTTTTCTCTCTCCCTCTCTCTCTCCAACCTTGTTGTCTTTCTTTGGCTCCCTTTTTCGCCCCCCCTTTTTCGGCGCTGGGTCTTGGCTTAAACCTCCTCGGCCGTCTCCTTCTCCATCTTCCCTGAAGCTGGCCCGAAGCGCAGGAGATATGGAAGTTTTTGTCTACGCTTTGCTCCTGTCCGTCTGTTGGACTCGAACCTGGGAAGCGGCGCGGGCGGATTCCATCATTCACATCGGTAAGGCGAGAGGCTTTTAAAACGCGGCTTGGTTTTTTTTTTTCTTTCCCCAAAGCTTCCCTATATATATATATATACTTCGCGGTTCCCCCCCCCCCCGCTTCCATCGGAACGCTGCTCTCTCTCTCTCTCTGCGCAGTCGGGTAGCTCTTGGAGATAAAAGCCGGAGGGTCGACTCGTGGGGAAATCACCGCGCCGTGGCCAAAGCCTCAACCCGCGGGGAGTTGGGCATTTGTTGTGTGCCCATGAAGCTCGAGGTTGGCCCGAGCCTCTGAATAAACTGTCTTGGGAGAGATGCTGAGATGGGTTTTGATAAGGGTTTCGCTCTCTCTCTCTCTCTCTGTGTATCTCTCTGTGTCTCTCTCCAAAGGATGGGTGGAAAAATCACGGCCAACCGCCGGAGTTTTGTTTTCCCCCCAAAAAAAATCTGAAAAAAGCCAAAGGACTCGGTCGGCGGTTGTGGCTTCCCGGGCTGAAAGCGCTGCCGTAGTAAGCATCCTTAGTCGGGGAGGAAAGAGAGCCTTGAGAGGATCCCTTTGGCACAGATGATCTCCACAGCCTTCTCGGCGCCCGCGCCAGCCACACAACTCGCACACAAACACACGCGCACACACACACAACCCACGTTGCTGCCTCACCCCCCCCCCCCCCCCCCCCCCCCCCCCCCGTATTAGAGAGGAACAGGTGGTTTGGCAACGTGATTTCTTTTCGTTTGGCCCGACTGATCTTTTTTTGCGAAGGGGGAAAAAGATTTTTTTTTTTTAACCTCCCTTCGGCAGTGGCAGCCTCGGCGTCCCCCCCATCCATCCATCTCTCTCTATCTCTCTCTCTTGTCAATCAGGAAGGCGCTTAGCGCGAAGGTCGTTGAACGAGGAAGCCTTTTCGGCGGGGGGTGGGGGGTGCTCCCCGGGTTCAACAACCCTCCCCCTGGATAAAGTAGCTGCTGGAAGAAGCGGGGAAGCGAGGGGTAGAAGGAGAAAGCCACGCGTGACAGCCCCTTTCCTCTGAGCCTTTTTTTCCCCAAGCAAAAAAAAAGGCCCCCAGCAGCTCGGCAAAGGGTTAAAGGACCCCCCCCCTTCTCTCTCTCCAGCTGCTGTGGGCCCCACCTATTGGCAGCAACACTCACGGCCACACGGGGGACTTGAACGCACGGAGAGGAGGTGTGTGTGGGGGGGAGTTGATTATGATTCACAGAGCTATCTGCAGCGAGCTCAGCTCGGAGTTTTCCTTTGCCAGTGGTCGGAGAGAAAGCAAGAGAGGGGGGAGAAAGAGGGGGAGGGGGGGGAGAGAGAGGGGAGAGGAAGGGGGGGGGGGAGGGAGGGGGGGGGGGAGAGAGAGGAGAAGGAGAGAGAGGGGGGGAGAGAGGGAGAGGAGAGGGGGAGAAAGGGAGAGGGAGAGAGAGACCCCAAAGAAGCCTTCCTAGTTCAGCAACTCAGTGTAAACACACCTCCCTGCCCAGATGCAAGAAAGTGGTGACTTGGTGGAGGTGGAGGTACCACTTCTCTTCTGTGCATGCTGTTGATAGAAGAGAGTACAAGAGTGCAGGCAGGTGTGAGTGCAGGTGTGCTAAGAGGAAGTAAAGAATCCCCTGGTCTGGGATAAGGAAAGCTCCAGCTCCTCTTGCTGACTGGCTGGGGAGGCTCCATTGGTGAGAAGGGAGCTGGTTCAGCAAGCCCAGCTGAGTTAAAGTCTCCACTCTCTCTCTCCCCCCCAGGACAAACAGTGACCATGCCCCCTTGTGCCACAACTAGTGGCCAACTCCATTCACTTCCTTCCAACTCGGAGCCTGTTGTTGGGGCTTTCTAGCTTAAGTGATTTTTTTTCCTTTTGGAATAGGTATCTGCCAGTCCTAGGCTGTACAGTATAATGCAGTGTTTCAACCAAGATGATTGGAGCTGAGAAATCCTGACTTTGGGGGGGGGGGGGGGGGTTGAGTCATTCCAGGAATGTCAGGCTTGTAGGTATTGTTCAACTCTTCTTGACTGCAGTAGGTAGATACTAGCTTTCTGGGGCTGAGACCTCTATCACGGTTCATAATGTTAACAAGCATCCCCTTCCTAGCCTGAGCTGTTCTTTTATGAATGAATCGGCTGACTCCCCATAGAATTCTATGGGCTGACTTCCCATAGAATCCAAGCAATTCATGATATATTAACGCCCGTTCTCATTTTCCAACTGAAATCTAAAACTTGCTGGGGGGGAAAAATGCTGCTTTGGGGGGGACAGTGTATGCTTTGTTACAGCCGAGTAGAATTCCTTGGAGAAAAGTTGGGAGACAAATTCCTGGGTCCCGGACAATGATTTTTCACCGATGAATAGTTTGTTTGTGAAAGAAAACTCTGGGCACCGGGACTCTTCTTCCTTTTCACGAAGCAAACAGTGGCATGCACTGTTGCACTGTGGTTTCACATCAAACGGCTCCTTCTCCCTCCCCCCCCTCTCTTTATGGTAATCGCTATTTATGTTTACTGGGTGCCTGTTAATGATTCATAGCTGGCCAATAAATTCCGGCAGATAATTTAGCTTTTTTTGGGGGGTTGTTTTGTTTTAACATATATGTTCATGGTTCCTTTCAATCAGCAGCAGCACCAGGATCTTTGCTTACAAAGATAGGAGAAGCAGAAAGGCTTGGAAAGAGAATTTTGCTTGATGTGTCAAGTGGCACATTTGACAAGGTGGTGACTTTGTTGACATGAAACTGGCAAATGGATAATTGTCATCCACAGCTTTGTCTCTCTCTCTCTCTCTCTCTCTCCCCCCCTCTGTTTATGGAAAATAGCTAGTCTGAAATAAGCAGCACTTTCATTTAAATTTGGGTCAATAGCTAATCTCTGTAGTTTCCCCCCCCCAAAAGTACTGTGGGTTTCTTCCCCTCCATCTCACTTCAAGCTTCAACTTTGAAAATGTTACAAGATCCAGATTCTGGCTTTCGTGTTTGTACATCTGCGGCATAAATGCAAAATACCTGTCTTACAAAAAAAAATCCATGGAAGCAAGGAAACAATGAAAAGCTGCTTTTGTTCATTTTACATTTCAGAAGAGTGCCTTTATTTAAAATAGGTTGAATTTTTTTTTTCCTAAATAAAACTTTTCAAAGGAAGCGAAGGAAAGGAATGTTCAGCATACTGGAGAAGAAGAGGGGAACAACAGGTATTACAGAGGTTTGGATGCTAAAAATGGAAAGAGTGAATAGTTTCCTACTCTTTTTCCCCATTCTGCACTGTACAATGTTGTATAATAGTAATAACGAGAGGCAAATAATATTTAGGAATTCATCAATATATTTACCCTTCTTTTCCCATTCTGCACTGTACAATATGGTATAATAGTTATAACAAGAGGCAACTGTCAGCATATATTTAGGAATTCATCCATATATTTACCCTTTTCCCCTTTAGCAATAGTTGGTTTGCTAGCTGCATATAAAATATTTTAGGTATCCATTTAGCCCCCAGATTGTTTTTTCGGGGTAAATGTTCATCTTAACATACATCTGTTGCAGTAAAGGATACCGAGAGCTGTGATTAATTTATTGAAGGGTAGTTGATAGTAAGCAAAATATAGAGAATTACTTTAATCAGAGTGGCATGGGAATGCTACTGCATTTTTTAAAGAATAAACGTGCTGTAGACTGTATTTTTCTGACTATCGGGAAAGAAATGGTTCACACATTCCCGCAGTTAAAGTGGGAAAATCCCTTTATTAAGCCTGTTGGGCTTTTGATTCACATTAGGGAAGATTTTTGTGAAGAAGGGAAGGGGGAGAAACCTTATTGACACGCTGTAGTTTCTCCCTGCTGTTCTTTCTTGAGCCTATGCATTGATTGAATAATTTCGCGAGACTCACATTACTTGATTGCTTAGAAGTTTCCTAATGATCTGCATGCAGTAAAAAAGAAGTCAAAAGCCGTGAGCGGAATGGCAATGATATTCTGTTTTATGAGCCTATTGAAAAAGTTGCTTGGATTTATGCTGCTCCAGAGCTCCCGAGTCTTTGAAATTAGCCACGCTGCTTGCAATTGACTTTGTACGTTGCTTTTTCTGATGCTTTTCTTCTTCCTAAATGCAATTGGACTTTGCGGCCCTGTTTTAATTAATCTGGGATTAGCCAGCATTTTTAGCCCAGCGCACCATTTTGGGTTAGCGCTGATGTTGTTGTAATATTTAGGGATGTCAGGTTGTCCATTGATTTTGACCTCTTAAGTACTGGAATGAGAATTGTGAGGTTTTGTGTGGTCTTGGTGCTAGAAAATAACGAAGAAAAATCTCCCGGGCAGTTAGAAGACAAACTCTTCTTCATAGAATATATTCCTTCATGCTGTTTCCTGCCAGAAATAAATTCTGCATATGCTCAGACACTCTTTAAGTATAGGGTTGAGATTTCTCTTTTTTAGGCTGCAACCGTTCTTCTAGAGCAGGGGATTCAAACTCAAGGCCTGGGGGCCTGATCCAACCTGCGGGGTGCTTAGATCTGGCCCGTGGGGCTGCCCTGGAAACAGCGGAGGACTGGCCCGCGATGCCTTTGCCAGTGAAAAGGGGCTCCCAAGCTCCATTTTTGGCTGAGACAGCCTCCTGCACCCTCCTGCCAGTGAAGATGGAGCTCGCCCTCCCGAACTCCATTTTCGCTGGCAGAGGGTTGCAAGAGGTGTCGCAGCTGAAAATGGAGCTCGGGAGCCCCTTTTCGCTGGAAAAAGGCACCACAGGCCGCCACAGGCGCCCCCGATGAGTGACGTCAAGCTGGCCATGCCCCCTCTGCCCCCCCAGGTTAAATACAACCCTGTTGCGGCCCTCAACGAAATCAAGTTTGACACCCCTGTTCTAGAATATTTTGAGATGGCAATTTTCCCTTTCAGACTGCTTAAAGCACAAAGTGCATGAGAATTAGATGCAAATATGACAGGCTAAAGCTATGATGCTAACTGTATTTTCTGGGAAGTTAAGAGTTCTGTTCTCCAGCCAGAAATGCAAACAGTGGTTGTGGTTGTCGTTTTCTTTATTAAA